GAGAGAGAGAGAGAGAGAGAGAGAGAGAGAGAGAGAGAGAGCAAAACACATAATCATCTCATTAGATGCAGAAAAGGCCTTTTACAAAATACAACATCCCTTCATTGATGAAAGGCCTAGAGAAATTAGGGATACCGGGGTATACCTAAACACAATAAAGGCAATTTATAGTAAGCCTATAGCCAACATCAAATTAAATGGAGAGAAATTCAAAGCAATTCCATTACAATCAGGAACAAGACAAGCTTGTCCATTCTCTCCATACCTATTCAATATAGTACCTGAAGTCTTAGCTAGAGCAATATGACAACTGAAGGAGATCAAGGGGCTACAAATTAGAAAGGAAGAAGTTCTTTATTTGCAGATGATATGATAGTATACATAATTGACCCAAAAATTCCACTGGGAAACACTTTCAGTAAAGTAGCTAGATACAGCATTAACTAACAAAAATCAGGAGCCCACCTATATACAGATAACAAACAAATCAGGGAGGCACTTTTCACAGTAGCCTCAAATAATGCAAAATGTCTTGGGGCAATTCTAAGCAATTTATAACCATGTATGAAAAAGACATTAAAGAAAGAAATTGAGGAAGTTATCAGAAGATGGAAAGATCTCCCGTGCTCATGGGTCAGTAGGATTAATATAATAAAAATGACCATCCTACCAAAAGCAATCTATAGATTCAAAATTCCAATACAGTTCTCCACAAATATTGAAAGAACAATTTTCAGCTTCATATTGACGAACTGCAGGAGGTATCACTATACTTGATTTCAATTGTACTACTGAGCTAAAGTAATTAAAACAGCATAGTATTGGCACACAAACAGACATGTTGATCAATGGAATCAAATTGAAGACTCAGACATACATCCACATGCCTATGAACACTTGATTTTTTAAAGATTTATTTATTTTATGTATACCAGTGCTCTATTTGCATGTACACCTGCACACCAGAAGAGGGCATCTGATCTCACTACAGATGGTTGTGAGCCACCACGTGGTTGCTGGGAATTGAACTCAGAACCTCTGGAAGAACAGCCAGTGCTCTTAACCACTGAGCCATTTCTCCAGTCCCCTGACCTTTTTTTAAACAAGCTAGAAAGACAGCATCTTCAACAAACAGTACTGGTCAAACTGGATGTCAGCATGTAGAAAAATGCAAATTGATCCATTCTTATCACCCTGCACAAAATGCAACCCAAATGGATCAGAGACCTCAACATAAAACCAGATACACTGAACCTGGTAGAGGAGAAAGTGGGGAGTATCCTTAAACTACTTGACAAGGGCTGGAGAGATGGCTAAGCAGTTAAGAACACTGACTGCTCTTCCAGAGGACCCAAGATCAATTCCCAGCACTCACATGGCAGCTCCCAAGTGTCTATAATTCCAAACATACATGCAGGCAAAATATCACTGCACATAAAATAAAAATAAATACAAAATTTATATATCAGCTATGAGAATGAGAAGGGAAGAAAAGGAAGGATGCAGTGATCATGAGGAAGCAGAAAGGTTGAGTCAGGTGTAGATTAGAAGAAAGGATATGATAGGTAGGGTTTTAGGTGGGGGGTGGTAGGAGAGGAAGGGAGGGAGAAGGGAACTGGGATTTTCATGTAATTCAATCTTATTTCTAATTCAAATAAAAAATAATAAAAATTTATATATCATTGGCACCAGATGAAAATAAAATACTTTCTGAACATAGATAGCACCAATAGCTCAGGCACTAAGATCAACAATTAATAAATAGCACTTCATGAAACTAAAAAGCAAGGACACCATCAATAGGAGAGAAAGCAGCAGCCTACAGAACAGTAAAAGATTTTTGCCAATTACACACCTGATAGAGGTCTAACAGCCAAAATAAATAAAGAACTCAAAAAAAACTAGATATCAACAAAACACATAAACCAATTTAAAAAAATGGGTATAGACATAAACAGAGAATTCTCAAAAGAAGAAACGCAATGGTTGAGAAACACTTAAATGTTCAACATCCTTAGCTACCAGGGAAATGCAAGTGAAAACTACTTTGAGATTTCACCTTACATCTGTTAGAAAGGCTAAGATTATTAAGACAAGGGACAGCTCATGTTGTTAAGGATGTAGAGCACGGGAAACACTTATCCATTGCTAGTGGGACTGCAAACTTGTACAGCCACTATAGAAATCAGTGTGGTGGTTCCTCAGAAAGTGGAAAGTGATCCATCCCAATATCCAGCTATACCATTCGTGGTCATATACCCAGGGATGCTTCATCCTGCTTCACTTACTCAACTATGACCGATGATGCTCTATTCATAGTAGTTAGAAGCTGGAAATAACTTTGATGCCCCTCAACAGAGGAATGGATAAAGAAAATGTGGTATATTTATACCATGGATTATTATTCAGCCATTAAAAAGATAGTAAAATCATGAAACTCACAGGTAAACGGATGGAACCGGGAAAAAAAAAATCACCCTGAGTAAGGTATCCCAAACCCAGAAATATGGTTTATATTTACTTATATGTTGATATTAGCTGTTAAGTCAACAACAACCAAGCTACAATCTTAGAACGATAGATGTTAGGTATAGAGTAAGGGACAAGGGATGACAGATCTTGTTAGGAAAAAGAAATAGAATAGATAGATATGGGTGGGGTAGGCTGAATGGGAGGATCGAGTGGGGAGGGAGATAAAAAAGGGGGATGAGGGAAGGAATATGGGGAGAGACAACTAAAATTGAAGGGTAGTATGGAAACAATATAGTGCAGGCACATTGAGTCATTGGCCAAAAGGGTCCTGTGGAGTCCCCAAACAACCTAAGATGTTGCCAAGACTATAGGTTGCTTTCCACAAGTTGACAGAATGGCCCCATTGCCAAAAACAGTATCCACACAACTGATTGGCTACGAAGAAGTCAAGCTGGTACCTACATAGAGCCTTCACCCCCAAGTTTAGCATCTATGGTACAGGAAAACATTCTGCACCAATTGTAGGAGTAACCAACCAATATCTTATTTTACTTAGGGTCCACTCCATGAGATGGAACCCATACCTGACACTGCTTGGGTAACAAAGAACTCGAGACTAGATAATCCAGGAACCAATGGTAAAGCCAAATACTGCCCCTCACCCCCCCACAATGAAATGACTTCTAATGACATTCTACTAACTCATAAATCAGTGTTTCGTTCTACCATCATTAGAGAAGCTTCCTCCTTGCAGCAAATGTGAACAAATACAGAGACCCACAGCCAGGCATTCATTATGCACTCGGCCCTAAATGAGATGTCTCCATCAAATCTCTCCCCTTATGGCTCAGGGAACTCTGTGGAAGGGGAAGTGGAGTTTAAAAGCCAGAGAAGAAGGAAGGCACCAAGAAAACAAAGCCCTTTAAATCAACATGAGCAAAGCTCACATGGACTCACAAAGACTGAGACGGCATGTGCAGGGCCTGAATGGGTCTGTACCAGGTCCTCTGCATATATATTATGGCTTTCAGTTCAGTGTTTTTATGGGTTACTGGGTGTGTTAATAAGTGGGTCTGTGACTCTTGTGCTTTCTCTTGGGCTCTTTTCCTTTTGTTTTTTTTCTTGTTTGTTTGTCCAATTCTAGTGTTCTGGTGTGTTAGTTTTTGTTTTATCATATCTTTTATCTTATCATATCATCCCTTAGAAGTCTGTTTGTTTTCTAATGAGACACAAAGTGGGGGTGGATCTGGATGAGAGGGGAGGTGAGAAGGAACTGGGAAGAGTAGAGGGAGGGGAAACTGCAATCAGGATATATTATGTGAGAAAAAAAATCCATTTTCAGTAAAAGGGGAAAACCAACCCACCAAATAAGGACTCCTGCATACTCACCCCACCCAGCCTGAATCGGACTTGAATGCCAGCAGCAGCATCGAGGAGCTCCGCCTATAAGAAAGCAGATGTCCCTTCAACATTTGTGAACAGCACCTTGCTACTTCTCATTCTGTCCATTAAAAGTAGTCGTTGATATTTACTATTTATAAAATAGGTCAGGCCAACAGGCTTCAAATAATTAGATTTAAGTCATAAAATATTTTATCTTTAATTATGATTATGTGTGTGGGGGGGGCTACACATAAGAGCAGGTGCCTGTGGAAGCCAGAGGCATTGAATCCCACCGAAGCTGGAGTTACAGGTGGTTGTGAGCCTCTCTGGGTCCTCGGGCAGAGCAGTGTGAGCTTTAACTGCTGAGCTAGTTCTCCAGCCCCGAAATTCATAAAATACTTTGAGAGGTAAGGACTTATGGACATCTCTTAGGATAACTGGAAAAATACTGTCAAAATTTCCTTCCTATGCAATATAAATACAAATCTTCAAATGAGTTGATGGTGCACACCTTTAATCCCAGCACTTGGGAGGCAGAGGCAGGTGGATCTCTGTGAGTTCGAGGCCAGCCTGGTCTACATAGTGAGTTCCAGGACAGCCAGGACTATATAGATGGAGAGATCCTGTCTCAAAAAGAAATCCTAGATGACTTATTATTTGTAAAACAGAAATTGTAAGTCCTCAAACATATGACTTATGTATAAAATATTACACCTTGTAAATAAACTAAAAAAAACAAAACAAAACAAAACAAAAACTGGTCCGCTCAAGCTCAACACTAGTTGTACCTTCCCTAACTAGCTTTTGTTAACTCAAAAAAGATTCAAATTTTATGTGTAATAAATCTTGTAAATGTAGTACCTTAAGCTGGGTGTTGGTGGCGCATGCCTTTAATCCCAGCACTTAGGATGCAGAGGCAGGTGGATCTCTGAGAATTGAAGGCCAGCCTGGTCTACAAAGCTGCACAGAGAAACACTGTCTCAAACAACAACAACAACAAATAGTGCCCTGCATCAAAAAGAAACGGGGAGGGGGCAGGAAGGGAGGAGACAACATGACTTGATCCCTTATCTGAAGACAGTTCACATCTATCTCCTTGATTATATTAGATTATATGGGAAAATATGTATTTTAGTTGGAAAATCTATTAATTTTTCCACAATAATTTTCTCCTGGCTGAAAACCTTTGTAAATTAAATACAAAGTACAAAATTCTGCATAAAAATTTTCATGTTTGGATGATGACATCATACATACATACATACATACATACATACATACATTTTCACTAGAATTTGAACAAATTTTAAATGGTGTATGGATTTTTTACACATTTGTATATTCCATGGCATCTCTAAGTCATATAAAAATCATAAACACTTTCATTCAGCATTGTGGTCCTATGACCTCTCCCAGCTGGATATCCTCAAAAATCTTTTTTATCTTTAAGGATTAATGTTGTCAGCTTTTGAATTTTATACAAAACGTGCGCCACCAACACCCAGCTCCAATAAAAAGTTTTTAAGAAAGCAAACATGAGAGCATTGAACTGATAAGACAATGTGGTGTCAGTAAGAACAGCCTTACCTCTTTAGGATTAATGAACTTCACTATCTGACGTGGCTCCCCTTGTCTTCTTAAATCAATCAGACTTTTAAAGTGTTGGAATACAGCAACATTCTAAAGATTGGAACACATAATTTTATGGTTAAACTAGGTTCTCTACTTTTTTTTTTTCCGAGAGGGTTTCTCTGTGTAGCTTTGGAAGGCTATCCTGGCACTTGCTCTGGAGACCAGGCTGGCCTTGAACTCACAGAGATCCGCCTGCCTCTGGCTCCTGAGTACTGGGATTAAAGGCATGTGCTGCCACTGCCTTGCTGGTTCTCTACTTTTTTAAAGAGTTTGAATTTTTTTTATATTTATTTATTTGGGATGGGGTACTACAGTTCACATTTGGAGATCAGAGGACAACTTCTGGGAACTGGTTCCTCCTTTCCACCAGGTGCATCCCAGGGATAGAACTTACATCATTAGGCCAGGTAGCACTTGCCTTTACCTACTGGGCTATCTCACTAGCCCTGAATTTTCTATTTCTTATTACCTGTTCATATACCTGTACAGAAACATAGATCTGAATAGTCCTGCAGAAGCAGAGAAATGAGGCTTCAAACTGAAGCCCATTCAGGGAGAGCAAAAGCTCCTCACCTAAGTGGCTCTTCCCAGCTCTTTTTATGAGGCTGGTGCTATCCTGACAGCAAGCCTTCTTGAGGACACTATAAAAGAGAGGGTGGGAGAAGACAGGGATGGAGGGGCTGCTAGATATAGACCAGCACCCACTTCTTACTCCAAAAAGAACCAAGTTAACAGACATATATCTGTATTATGAGGTACAGCACAGATAGAAAAACGTTTCCACAGTTTCCACCCCAGCTCCACACCTCTAGAAGGAAGCCCCACCCCACCCCCAGCTGCAGGAGAGAGTGAACAGGAAAGTCCCTGTAGACTCCTGTCAGCTTGGATGCCCACAGTCTTTGCTAGCAAAAAGCTTCATAGCTCTCCCAGGTTGGCTGTTTGCTCAGGTAAGCAACCATAACTCTGTGGCTATCCTTTGGACAAGGATTTCAGTGTCTCCAGGTGGGCATACAGGCTGCTATAGCTAATGGCATCTCAAGACATGTTCTGCTGTGTAAATTTGGAGGGTTCTAGGAGTCAGAAATCCCTGCACACCCCTCCCCTCCAGGGTTCCGTAGACACCCACGACACTGGTTTGGAGGGTAGCTACATTGCAAACCTAACCTGACCTTGCAAAGTCACTGTGACCTGTGCTAGTTGGATGCTCTGCATCAGAAAGGATGGACTTTTGACATGAACAGAAACACGGGGTACAGATCTTAAGAACCAGTAGACCTCAGCAGTTGCAGCACTCGAATTCTGAGGTCCAGAGTGGCAGCTGCTTGTGGACTTGCACTAGTGTCTAAACTAAAGCAGAGACCCTCGAAGTTCACTGGAACTTTAAGGAAATACTGTGGTCCCTGCTCCTGGCCCACTCACATGTGCTTGCTAAAGGGGCTCCAGCCCCTGCTGTGTCTCTGGGTCTGTGTTACCACTGGGATGGCAAAGAGAAATACCTTGGCTCCAGCTACCCTATCCCTGTGTGCACTGCACTGAGGAAGTGGAGGGCCAGTCACGGTGCTTCAGGCTCCTCAGCATGACTGGAACTCCCACTGCAAGTCGGCTTTTGCAGAAGCAGAGTGTGGAGATAAACCAGCCAATAGAGGCTGCTGTTCCCACTGTGGTGTAGCCACACCCTGAGCACCCATTCCTGTGTCACAGCTCCCTGAACCACTACAGTCCCCGTTCCTGTTGGCCCCCAGAGAACATTAATCTCTCTAGCAGTGTCTAGCAGGCTCTTCCTGGTATGCACTGTGCTCAAAGTCATCCTGTATAGTTAAAGAAACTATGAGGAGGATGCCATGGTGCTCAGTGGAAACAAAGCCAATGTCGAGCAGACCACTTGATAAGAAGGCTGCCCCATAAACGAATGGGGACACTTGGCCTACCAGGGGTGCAAATCTCAGTGTGGGAGCACAAAAGATGTCCTGCAAAAGACACAGCAACCCATGGGCTTCAGAGACCCACAGGGCCAGTATGTAAAATAGTTGACAAGCATAAAATAATGTTCGTGGGGAAACAGTGAGAGCCATGAGGCGACAGACTGATAGCTAAGTGAAAATCTGTTTGAGAGTCCTCAAAGACAACTAGTATCATGAGAGCACATGGAATCATAAACGTGACTAGAGCCAGCAAACAAAAGGAAAATGAAGAATAAGTAATCTTCATCAAGTAACAGTAAACCATCAACAAAATAAAATTACAAAGAATATTCAAGACAATTACAAGAAAAAAAAGCAGGAGTCTTTACATATCATTAATAACAGTATAAGTAAACAGAATGAAAATACAAGATCAAACAGTATTCTGCCTGTAACTTGTAAGAACTTCCGTCAAGACACAAAGGGATTGGGGAAAGGGCAGGGAAAAGAGTAGATGTGATATTTAAAGTAAATGCTGAGAATCAATAGTTATGGGCTAGCACAGGTTTTATTGGCAAAATTTGATTAGTCTGATGGCGGTCTTGTGGACAGGAAGCAGCTTCTAACTTGACACAAAACACCAGGCACAGTGACTAAAGGGACCCAAGGACTTCGGGGTGCTCCCCTCTGGACCCTGGATTAGGCAGGACCACACCCAAGCATAAACCAAAAACAAAGAGATCCTGTATTAAGCAAGGCAAAGAGACAAGGTGGCTAAGTCTGAATTGGGCAGAAACAGCAGCAAATGGCTTTGCAAGTGTTAATTTTAAAAGGGAGAAGGGGAAGGTCTGAGTGAGAATGAGCTAGGACCTGTTGGCAAGTCTTGAGTGGGTATTTTAATTAGGTCAGTCAAATTTTGATTGTTGGACCTTGATGTTTTGTTAGTGGGACCTTGGTGATCAGTCTTAGGAATGAGTCGGGCATAACAAAGTGGCCAAATAAGGGAATAGACCTTTGTAGGCTAGCTTTAGGAATGTAATCTAATGGTTTAGAGAGAGAGAAAGAGTAAGAGAGAGAGAAAAGGGGAAAGGGCCAAACCTGCCTGAGCCACATTTGCCATGCTCAGGGCTGCTAGAGCCCTTCAGAGACAGAATTACTAGGATTATAGAAAGGAGTGAAGTCATCTTGCCTCTTGGCTGTCACCCAACCAGGTAAGCAAACATGGAAAATTACTTCTGAGGCCATTCTATCCATGTTAAGGGCACAATAAGTGAGCACTACATTAGCTCAGATAAAATAGGTCACTAAGCCATAAGATCCTCCACAGTACTCAATAAATATTAGAGGAGTAAATATACCCTCACCATTTCCTCCCAAGCATGACATGTGTCAAAGTCAAATGAACCCTTTTAGTGATACATTTATGGGTATTAGCTATTATCAAAGAGGCCGACCCCATTCAGAAACTTATGGGAGCCAGAGGGATGGCTCCATAATAAAGTGCTTGCTGTGTAAACATGAGGACCTGGGTTTGATCTCCAGTACCCATGTTAAAATGCTGGATGTAGTGAGGCACTCATAACCCTGGCACGAGAAAGACAGAGCTGGGTGGGTAACTGAGGCTTGCTGGATAACCACTGTAGTCCACTTGGCAAGCTACAGGCTAGTGAGGGTTCCTATCTCAAAAACTAGACAGCTCCTGAGGAACAAAGTCTGAGGTTGATTTGTGGCTTCCACATGCGTGCACACACAGATATGTCCACACATATCTATATACATGCACACAAAAATTGTTTAAATTAACAAGAATGTCAATGTTTGTAAACCTAATAAAATAATTTTAATTAATCTTTTAAATTTTTGTTTTGCAAGAGTATGTTTCTGTGTAACGGTTCTGGGACTTTGTAGACTAGGCTGGCCTTGAACTCAGAGTCCACCTGTCTCTGCCTCCCAGGTTCTGGGATTAAAGGCATGTGCCACCACCACCCAGAAAATTTTAACTTTTGAAACTGAAGTAAACTTCTAAGTTGAAGGGTAATACAAACCTGTATAAATACACAAAAGAACTACTGAACTGCACACACTTATATGTAATCTCTCAAGGGATCAGCTAAAAAAACTCACAAGAAAATTTTTCCAGGCTCTCTGAATGACCTTTGCAGCTCTCTCCTCCTCTGAAAATTCTTGGATCGATTCCCCAAGCATCTGGAAGTTCGAAAAGAAAAATAAGCAAAACGGCAACCTTGACATAACTGTAAATGCTCCACTATGATGCTGTCTCTGGCACCCAATGGAAATTAAATAAAGTTGTCTCAAGGAAACAATGAAGTATTTAAATTATATTCTTAATATATTACACTTTGTTTTCTAACAAGTACCTTGCATAAGAGCTTTTTAAAAAGATCTACATTTGTGTGTGTGTGGTGGGGGGGGGTCCACAGGGGCCTGAAAGGGACATCATAGCTCTTGGCACCCAGTGTTGGTGCTGGGATCTGAACTCTGGTCCTCTGATAAAGCAGTAAACACTCTTAGCCACTAAGCCATCTCTCCATTCCCTACAGAGGTTTTTAGTATGTCTGTGCTGGACTAAACTTCAAGATTTAAGGTCAAATAGTAAAAAAGTAGCCAGAGTTGAGCTCAGTCTGTGTCTTTAAAGCCTGTGACCTTTACATACTTTGTTGTAGGACTTGAACCTAACCAACGTACATAGAGAAACAGCTGTAGCCATGAGGTTGTCCAAGTCCCTAACCTAGAACTGCAGATTGATTGTAGACTTGCTTAACCATACTGCCTACTAGATGTATCATTTATCACATCTCTAAGAAAATGAAGTTTAAACTATTAAGGAGCAAGACAAAATCACTACTTGTACTTCACAATTTTAACTGGGACTGGCAAGAGTAAGAGGGAAGTCAGACAGACATTCTAGCTCCCTATTCCTTCCAAAGCTCCCGAAAACCGCGGAGGGAGGTACATGGATGTCAAGTTGTGTTGCTCTGAGGGTATCCTGTGGACTCATGCCAGACTCAATTCCTGTGTTAGCAAATGAGATGTAAAAACTTGAAGGAGTGGGTAGAGGGTTCAGTGGGTAACTTCTTTCTCTGCAAGCATGAGTATCCAAGTTTAGATGCCTAACATCCAAATACAAAGCAGGAAGCTCTGGCCATCTGTAGCCCCAGCCCTTAGGAGCAGAGTGCAGCAGAAACTGGAGGATCCCAAAGGGCTCAAGGGTAAGCTGGTATAGACAAAATGGTGAGCTCCAGGCTCACCATGGCTATCTCAGCAGATATGTAAGTAGGGACCCAAAAGACAGCTCAGTGGTGAGGAGCATCTGCTGCTCTTTGACAGTACCCAAGGTCAGTTTCCACCACCTACATCAGATGGTTCACAACTGCCTGTAGCTCCAGAGTCGGCAAATCTGATGCCTCTGTGGGCACCTGTATTATGTCCACAAATACACGCACACACGCACACGCACATGCACGCGCACATACACACACACACACACACAGAGACAGAGACAGAGACAGAGAGAGGAGAGACTTTTATAGTTATTTTACATTGCTGTAGCATGGAAACATATAATCAATGGGCTTGTAAATGTGTGTGTGTGTGTGTGTGTGTGTGTGTGTGTGTGTGTGTGTGTGTACACAATTCTCCCTTTCCTAACAATTTTAATGACTATTAAACATGATCTGAATTATGTGTTTAAAGTATTGCTCTGAAAGGGTACAAAAGAAACATAAAAAGCCCTAAGCTATCATTGTTGCTTAGCTGTACATAAGACAGTCATAACGAATGGGATTTATAAATCAGTACTCAGAACCTAACACTCAGTTACGTTATTAAAGCTCCCCACTACTTACAGTATTTTTGAGGTGATCTATTTCTGAATTTCTTGACAGTGACACACTTGATTCTGAGTCTTCAGGCTCCATGATTTTCCTGTGAGTGGGGGCAGGGAGGGCACAATACAATGCTTAGTAGAGTCCCCCTTCTCTGCCCACCACATACAATAGCACATTGTGACAACCAATGCTGTCTCCAAAGGGCTGGTGAGATGGTTCAGTGGGTAAAGGCACTTGCCACCAAAGCTGATGACCCAAGTTTGATCCCCAGAAAGTTTGATGCCCATAAAGGTGTAAGGAGAGTTGTTCTCTGACCTCTACACTGGTGCCATGGCACGTGTGTGCCTACACATATACCCAACAAATGTAAAGTTAAAAAAAAATGTCTCCAGCAATTGCTGCCCTTGAAGAGCTATGATCTATTGAAACTTCATGGTGGGAAGAGGAAGGGCTGGGGCTGCAGGACAGTGGCAGAGTGCTTGGCTGGCACCCACAGTTCAATTCCTGGCATTTCCAAAATAATAACAATAACAACAACAATAATAATAACAATACTCATAAAGGAGATAGTAGTGGTATAACATTGCCTAACTTCTCTCAATTCCTGAGACTGTGAGATTAACCATCGGAGTATTTACATCATGGAAGTTGCCAAACACTTGAAATCAGTACTTTTTTTTTCTGGTTGATTTAAGATTTAAGAACAAGCTGGGCGTTGGTGGTGCATGCCTTTAATCCCAGCACTCGGGAGGCAGAGGCAGAGGCAGATGGATCTCTGTGAGTTTGAGGCCAGTCTGGTCTCCAAAGTGAGTGCCAGGATAGGCTCTAAAGCTCCACAGAGAAACTCTGTCTCGAAAAACAAAAACAAAAAAAGATTTAAGAACAATATATGGTGATATGTTAATAATGCATTATTAATAGCACAAAGATGCAGAAACAATCCCAATGGCACTTCAAGACAGGAAAACAAAACAAAACAAAAATGGTGGTCAGGTAAATGAGCTTGAGTATCATCAGTAGTCACTTTTGGGGGGCAATGGAGACACACACACACACACACACACACACAGAGAGAGAGAGAGAGAGAGAGAGAGAGAGAGAGAGAGAGAGAGAGAAATCCAGCCAGAATTTCACCATGTAACCCAAGATGCCCCTAAACTCACAGCCTCAGTCTCCTGAATGCTGAGTTTACAGGCAGTGGGGTAGCAGAGGAGAAAGAGAGGGGTGGTTTGAGGAATGGGAAAACTAGGTAAAGGCTCTGGAGTGCTATGTAGAAGCAGGGACACAGTGGCTGGAAGATGGATCTGGATTCAATAGGGCTTTTCTTTCTTAAATATGAGGCACTAAAATGTGAAAATATTGCTAGAGAAGGAGACATTAAAGGCACAAGAGAGGGTAAAGGAAACGTAAAATTCCTTGAGTAAGGGGACAAAGGCTTCAAACTAACCATGTGAAAATACCGTTTCTAAGACACAAGGAGTACATGGAAACAATTGCTCAAGTTAGGACTTAACTATACTCAGGTGCGCACTGCTGATTCCCAGGTAAGGACAACAAGCCAGTCCCAAGTCAATATCCTTGTTAAGTAATTCAGAGGTAGGCCTGCAAAGCCCTGCCATAAGTAGCCTTGCTGTCTGTAGTTTCGACGCGGAACCCGTATTCCTATCCTCTTAACTCGATTTTATTTTCTCAAGAAATGTGTCATGATTTTGCTTTTTCTCTTTACCTATAGACCTTTATACTGAACATAAGACAGAGCCAACAGAAGCCCTATTCACGTACTACTTGGGATGCTCCCTCCATCTCTAAATATTTTAGGAAGAAAACCTAAACCTTCCTAAATGCCCCAACCTTCCTAAAATTCCACATATTACATTTAACAGTTTGAAGAGGAATTCAGAGATGAGGAGTGGGCTAGCAACATCCTCAAGGCTGCAGCCCCGGGATAACGGAGGGCCTGGAGAAGGGATTGGTGAGCTAAAAGGAAGCTTTTCCATCAAGACCAGGGCAATGGTGGAAAGAGCATCTATACGGTCAGAGCATCTATACCGTGATGGACGGGAGCAACCTAAGGGCTCAGACCAGACACCAGAGCTGAAAGGAGCTGGGGAGGGGACACATCACTTGACTTACCAATCTCCGTGGCCTCGATCTCAGTTTGTTTCCTTGGAAACCACGCAGTGGGAAATGACTTAATAGCTCCTTCAAACTTCTCTTTAGGCCCCGCCCCCAACCTTCCGGTTTGTTCTGATGGAAGCACTCACTCACTCTTCCATTCTCCGTGCCATAGGGGAAGGGAATTCAGAGGGATCGCCTATATGTGACATAAGGCCGCAGACGGATGCTGTTTCCAAATTTAAGTTCCTTAGCATGACATGGGTTTTAAATAAAAATAGAGGACTTCCCAGAACCTGGAAATCATACTGCATATTAAATGTGAGCTTTATTTGCTTGAATGCTGAATATCCCACATGTGGGCATTACCTCAGTGTCGGAGTATAGCAATGTAAACTGAGGAGTATTTCGACATGACCAGTTCTTCTATGTTTCTTCAGTGCTCTTTCGTGGGACATAATTTGTGAGGAAGATGAACTTCTAGGGAAATATTTTCCTTATATACTAAACGCATTTGTTGAAAATACTCCCACCATGGGCAGTTTCAATGAAGCAACGTGATGTCTCAGAAAGCCTGCTGGAGACCCGGCATCGAGTGTTCTGGACATCTCTGATCCTGAACTCTGTTCTTAGGGAGCTTCTTTCCCAGCTTGCTGTTTCTTAGCAGCTATGCTTGGTCTGCTTGGTAAACAGCTCCCCACGGGATGGGGAGAAATTCTGGAAACTCCACTCCAGAATACATGGTTTCTGCATATCAAGTTGAAGGTGCTTGAAAAACAGCCAAATGGCCCCATTTACTCTGAGAGCTTCCAAAAATGCTCAGCTGCTGTCATCCTCTCAAGATTAACTCATCCACACAAGCTTTGTTCCTAGCCATCTATTCTTTCTCAAAACCCATCCCTTAGCCACATAGTCCCTGTACTGAGTAAAGTCTTTCTGAGAGCTCTAGTCTCCTTTTGCCTGACTCAGTTCAGCTCTGTCTGGCCAGGTCACTCCCTGCTACCCCCTACAGGACCCAGCCTTATTTCTATCAGCAAACACAGTCTCGTTTTCCCCCTCTGTTTAAACATGTTTAAAAGGGGGTTGATCACAAACCAGTCGGAACAGCACAACAATGGAGAGGAGGTAAGCACAGCTATTGCCAACCCTGTCGGTTGAAGTTGTAGCCTAGCAAGAGCTGTGGTGCCGGGATCCCCTAGACCCCAAGGCCAAAGACTGTCTTGCCTCTCCCTGCACCCTCCCACCAGTTCAGTGGCATCTATGAGATCCGACATATGCACTCTTCTTCTTCCAGTCTGGCTCAGGAACAGACTAAGGGCAGAGGTAGATGGGGAGACTGGGGTGGGGATGGAGGGACAGTTGGTTGTGAGGGAGCTTGGGACCCTGGGAAGGGCATACTAACTCCTTGCAGGAGAAAGGCACCTCTAAATAGGGAACCTAAGTTTGTGCCTTTCTTCTCACCCACCCATGGGGAGAGATGAGATGGGCTAAAGGAAGCAGTCCAGTGAAAATTCCAATTCTGGTTCCCATATCTCCACCTCCTGCAGGAAAAGTAAGGAATCCTGTCTGAGGGAGTCTCATTCCTTCCACCCTGCTCCCCCACAAGTCCAGATCAATCTCCCTCCCACTGGCCAGCTCTAGGCCCTATGCCAGGAGGGAATTGACTTTAGAGGAACCTCAGGCTATCTTGGTGCCCAAGTCCCCCTCCTAGTGACACAGAGCTCCTTGTGAGATTTATGACCAAAACCCTCATTGTAGTTGCCTTTGTTCTCAAACAGATGCTGGCGGTGGTGGCATGCAACTTTAATCCCAGAACTTGGGAGGCAGAGGCAGGAGGATCTCTGTGAGCATGAGGCCAGCCTGGTCTACAGAGGTAGTTCCAGACAAGCAAGGACTGTTACAGAGAGAAACCCTATCTTGAAAAAGGAAGGGAGGGAGGGAGGAAGGGAGGAAGGAAGGAAAAGAAAGAAAAGAAAGGAGAGAAATAAAAGAAAGAAGAAAAGGAGGAGAAAGAGAGAGAGAGAGAGAGAGAGAGAGAGAGAGAGAGAGAGATGTAAAATTCACCGTGCAGTGCATCATAACTGCCTAGGCTGGGTGAAGCAAGAGTGATGGAAAATGAGCTTGTCTGCCACCAGCCACACCTCAGGGTACATGGTCTTCTAACAGGCTGCACAGGTCTCCTTTACCTGAGCCCCCCAGCTAAAGGACTTAGAGAACTGCACTTGCTGGGGCCTCTGCTAGGGTAAGCTTCCCGTCCAGGATGGCCTGGGTGGCTTGGCAGCCAGCCTGGAACATGGTTTTTTTAAAGATGCTTGGAGGCCTGGGTGGAGACACAGCTCAAGGAGGGTTCTTCGAGGGGAAATGAGTCAGTGGAGACCCACGAGCCCTCGCCACCCTGCACGCTGGGGTGTTTTTAGGCAGTGAGTTTTGGGTGGCTGTGGCTGGGACTTCCCTTAGGTCACTCACAGTTCAGATTTTTAAAAAAACATGACTCAAAGTCTGGGATTATCATACTTCAGTTGTAGGACATTTGTTTAGAAAGCCATGAACCCCCAAGCTCTCCCACTGAAATAAAAACCCAAACAAACAAACAAACAAACAAACAAAAAACCAGTCAAACTCAGATACTCAAAACACAAATCTAAGAAACTAGAATCTGAAGTTTTTCACCATCCCCAGACTCAGTTAGGGAACAGTGGAGGGGAACTTACGTAAAGCCGCTACAGGCCAGTGTATGGCCTCTTCAGACTAGGCCAAAATCGCTTAACTTTCCTAGAACAATAAAGTCAGCAGGCTTTACTCAATCCAAGCAGAAAAACCCAACAAAATTGCCCTGGAATCGTCCAGGGCTGAAGTGTGTTCTGGGAACTTCAACCAGTGCTCTGCCCATTAGCATTTATAAGAAACAGAAACAGGGAGGTGAAAATAATTTAATTATCTACAGCCTGGTAAGCCAGTCAGTTGTTACAGCTCCTTTGCCTGCTAATTGGCTGCAGGGAGCTTTGCACAAAGTCAGGCACTAACCTCCACCAATCTCTATGCTCAGATGGCTGGCTGGATCCAGGACAGGCATCCAAATCCATAGGCTCCCATTAGTAACAAATTCCAAGGTGCCAGTAAACACAGAATATTTATAATACTACTCCTTTTGACTCCATGCCACTCCAAACTAGTTCAAACAGTGGACTCCTTGGTGAGTTGCCCCCAAGTGCTAAGGTCCTGGCACAGTGGACAACAATTGTCCATGGAAGGTTTTTTAGTTTCCACTGCAGGGTCACCTGATTGTAGGCAGTAATCCAAGCAGTGGCAGGGGGTTGATGACGTGAGGTTGGTGGGGAAACAGCTTTCATGTTTCTCTAGGGAGTTCGTTTCCTCCGAAGCTTGGTCCTTCTTGCCACCTATATTTACACTAAAGGTGAATCCTTGGAAACCGTGTGTACTTCTCTGTTGTGTGGTAAGATGCCAGAACAACAAGCAACTCTAGGAAAAAGCGTTAGTTCTGGCCTATGGTTCCAGAAGCCATTGTGGAAAGAAAGGGACGGCATGGTGGCAGGGGCCACGAGGCTCCCTGAGTGCAATGTTTAACTGTCCACCCAGACAGTGCCTCTGTAGCAGGAAGCAGGGCAGGCTATATAACCCCTTAAAGCCTGTTCCCAGTGATTTTACCCTCTATCAAGGCTATCTCTCCTAAATCAGTGGCTCTCAACCTGTGGGTCTCGACCCCTTTGGGGGTTGGAGTGACCCCTTCACAGCTGTCGCTTAAGACCATCCTGCACACCAGATATTTGCAATTCAATTTAAAAAGAAGCAAAGTTAGTTATGAAGTAGCAACACAAGTAATTTTATGGTTGAGAGGTCACCACAACATAACGAACTGTATCAAAGGGTCATAGAGTTAGGAAGACTGAGAACCAGTGTCCTGAAGGAACCATAACCTCCAGAACCATCAACTAGGACCAAGCGTTCAGACACAGCAGCCTGTGTGGGACCATGTTGCTTAGCTCTTTGTCAATAAGCTAGGGTCAGCTGGGAAGGGGGATCTCAACTGGGAAAATACCTCCATCAGATTGGCCTGTGGGCAAGTCTGTGGGATATTTTCTTGACTAACGATTGGTGTGGGAAAGGCCAGGAAAGCACACAGGAGGAAGCAGAAGGGGCAGGGTTAAGGTTAGAACACAGTATAATGTGTCCATACCATGATGAAACCAGTTACTTTGTATGTTAGCTTTAAGAATTAGGTTTTTTTTTTCTTTTCTTTCTATGTCTGCAGACTAGAATTCAGACAGAATGGCCGTGACAGCAGTTTTAGTTCAGTTATTCATGAGGACACAACAGAGATGAAGGTTAGAGCAGAGATGGCTGAGGGGTTAGGAGCACTGGCTGCTCTTGAAGAGGACCTAGGTTCTATTCCCTGCACCCACATAGCAGCTCATAAGCATCTGTAACCCCAGTACTGGGGGAATCATACTCTCTTTTCTGACCTATGTGGACACCAGGCATGCATGTGGGGTACTAACATACAGCAAGCAAAAACTCATACACAGAAATAAAGAATTAAAGATTTAAAATAAATAAATAAAGAATTAAAAAAATCATTAAAAAAAAGCAGGTTAGATTAACTGTCACAGACATACCAGGGAACAGGAAGTGATAATCTTTATTAAAACAAATACATGGTTTCCAATTTTTATTAAGAAAATTTTCTTTATTTAAAGAGTATATAATAAAACCCCATGATAAAATCCCAGACATAGGTTTTTAAGATGGTATCATGGAAAACAGGAGTATCATTTTCTTTTCCTTCTTATGTCCTCTGTGCATTTAATCTTTGGCCATGTTGACATTTTTAGTTTACAACTTGATTTATATCCATAGTTTAAAAACAATTTAAATATTATAAAAAGGTATAAAGCAAAAAATTCCCTTCTCCCCATACCATCCCCAACACTGGCAGCTTGTCCTTCAAACTCAATCATTTCTATCTTTGGCAAATTGTTTTCACATTCTAGGTCCTGTACCTTTGGTCTTTACTGAACACATTGTAGAAAGCTCTCATTACAGCATGGCTAAAACTGCTTCCCTCTCGTTGGCGGTGTACTTGCTTGCCCAACTTGTCAGTGTCTCTTTAGGCAATGCATTCACTATTGATGGGTGATGGCCACTTAGAGTGACTGAAGCCACAAGCATTGGTGACAGCTTATTCAAATGAGCACAGCTATATCTTTTTAAAATTTTTATTTAACTTATTTATTTTGTGTGCATTGGTGTGAAGGTGTCAGATCCCCTGGAACTGCAGTTACAGACAGTTGTGAGTCACCATGTGGTTGCTGGGAACTGAACCTGCGTCTTCTGGGAGAGCAGCTAGTGCTCTTAACCACTGAGCCATCTCTCCAGCCCCACACAGCTATATCTTTACAGCCTTATATCCCTCTCCTTTCAACAAAAGTCAGATTAAAAATATTTTTGTTGAAGTTAAAAATCTCTTTATATCATTGTTCCTGTCCCTCCCTCCAGCCCCTCCTAGGTGGTCTCTACACTCTCTCTCAATTCATGGCCTCTGAAGATATATTCAAGCCAATAACACAAAAAGCCATGTAAAACTCATTTCAAAGGCTGTGTTCAAACTGGGGAAATGGGGGAACTATCTTGATTTCTTGATAGACTTGTGACAGTTTGGATGGGAAATGTTCCCTGCAGGTTCATGTCGAAGACTGTCTCAGGTGGAATGCTCCAAAATGAGGATCGTGGGGGCCCAGACAAGTCAATAGAAATGGCTAATTTGTCTCAACTTCTTTTAACTGTTAGGATGTTCATCACCAGACGACATGAACCTAAAAGACTTAATGTGTCTATAACAAACAACCCTTTGCTTTCTGGGCCTGGGGTTACAGAGAAAGAAACGAGGGAGGCAGCCTTTCTTTCCATAATCTATTTCCATGAAGCCCTCCTCTCTATGCACAACAGATGCAGACTCAGGGACACCAGGGTGTGGCCTCAGGACAGCCTGTCCTATAGTTCACACTACACAGGTAGGTTTTAAATAGGTGATGGGATATTTGGCTTGATGATACATTTCTATGGTCTGGTTAAAAATACAAACTCCTGTGTTGTTATTGGTCCTCAGGAGAACAGATATGACCAAATGATTGCCCCGGTTTGGGAGCACTTTGACTCTGGGGGTTCTTGTTTTAGAGAGCATTCGGTCATGAACTGCATCTTGAATTGATAGTGCTCTGAGGAATTAGACATGAATTCATGGTATGAGACTTAGATCTCCACCCTGCCCTATAAGGCAGAGACAAGTGCCAAAGCCTTTATTTTAATGGTGCAACCCACTGAGAGGACGGTCTTTGGATCCAGGAATGAGAACCTGCCTCTGTCCTGGGCTTACTAGTGAATCCCAGGATGCTGAGGCTTCCTGAGCTGGTGTAGCAGTTTTTGAGGACTTTTTTTGGAAGGACAAAAATAATTAAAGATCTCACATTGACAACTGTTAAATTTCTTATATTCCTAGTATATAGATGAAGACACCCACAGGATACCACCATCTACATTAATAGCTATGCTGTCTTTAATAGCACACAACCCACACAGGTTGTGACTCACCAGTGTAAGGTACAATTTCCCCTAATTCTGTCTTAAGCCCTGGCAAAACTTAACTGAAAAGATTTAAATGATGCAGTTTGTTCCTCCACTATCTCTATGCTAGCTTTAATAGCAGCAGCCTGCTCCTTAGTTAACATCATCGGATCCTCCAACAGGAGGCTGCCATCACTGAGCATCAGGAACAGCTTGCAAGAGGAGAAACCACACAGGGAGGAGAAAATAAAACCTCCCCCAAACACTTTTCCCTTCATAATTGAATGTAAAAGTAAGTGAACAAAAGATAGAAACAAATCAGTAAATGTGATATCCACAAATCCCCAGATGATCTATACGTCTTTTTACCTCCTATGATGCTCAAATGAGCAGTTTTCACCCCAAATAAAATGAATATCCAAAGGTATTTGGTAATACTGAAACTCATGATTTTTCTGTCTCAGCCTTATGTGTGTGGGGTTACATGCTTGGCATCTCTGTGCATTTCTTTTTTGCTTTGGCTTTTTGTGTGTTTGTTTTGTTTTTTTCAGATAGGGTTTCTCTGTGTAGCTCTGGCTGTTCCAGAACTAACTCTGTTGACCAGGCTGGCCTCAAACTCACAGAGATCTACCTGCCTCTGCTTCCCGAGTGCTGGGACTAAAGGTGTACGCCACCACTGCCTGGCTGTTTTGGCTTCTTGATAAGGTCCAACTGGGTAGTCTGGGCTGACCAGGAAATCACCATGTATCTCAGGCAGGCTTTGTACTAAAGAAATCCTCTTGCTTCGCCTCTAGAGTGCTGGGATTAGAGGTGTGAGCTTGACCCACCAGGCCTGGCTCCTCTGTTTCTTCACAGCTTGGCATCTTCACAAGTCTTAAAGATGTAGCCAGCATACAAAGGAGTGTGAAACTGGGCCTCCTTAAAGGTCTTCCTTCTCCGGCCTCTTCCTGTGGCACTGGCAAACGGATGTGCCATCATCTGGCTGGGGAACAAGCTCCATTCCATCACGTATCATGGGCTTGCTGGCCTGGCGCGCAGCGTATTTCTGAAATATGTTTGGAAGCAATGGAAGGTTTAGTTCACGTTTCATTCTAGTCCCACCTCCCACACATCTCTACTTCAATCGTGATGTTTCAGACCCAAACCCAAAGGTCTGGTCTCTTCGAATCTCACAGTTACTTTTTAACTTTATTTACTATAAATGCTGGTGAAACATCTCATGGTCTGGCATGGAACCCTAATCTACACTTCTCTGTAAATGAGACGCCTCTAGAAAAGAGATGCCAAGCCAAATGCCCCTGCGTGAAACAAATGGAGCTAGCACTTACCCTTCATTTTAATGAACAATAATTATCTTGTTGTATTTTCATGACAGTAAGCCGAGATGACCAGCATCTCCAGATAGAGTGCATAGATGGCCACTTCCATCCACCCTAGAGGGCTGGAGTTATAACCACACCAAGAGGCCCTGGAAAAACATCCCTATGAGAGTCTTTCACTCCCTTCAAGTGTCCACTTGGCTATGTATTCCTAGTATTGGGCTAATGCCAACAAAATAGAAATATAACTAAGGGAGTCTAACTAACAAGTTAAGAGGTAGAAGCTCCCGCCATTAAAATTAAAGCTAGGGCAGGTAAGACGGCTTAGTGGGTAAAGCTGCCTGCTGCCCACCCTTAAAACCCTATTTCAATCCCTGGGACCTACATGGTGGAAGGAGAGAACCAACTCTGGTAAACTGTCCTCTGACCTCCATGGGTACTATGCTCCACCCACCCCTGCCTCTCCAAGCTCACAAAATAAATAAATAAAATGTAATTAAAATAAAAAATATTAAAACTAGATTAGTACACAGGATGGAATGCATGTAAGGATGGCAAGATCGGCACATGTGTGGAAGGGGTGGGGGTAGGGGTGGGTGATGGGTGGGATATGACTTGCCTTTATTCCACCACAAAGGAAGGAATGTCTCTACAAATCAACCACCAGGGAGCACACACTGACCAGATGGAAGGTGCCTGTAATTAATCTATTTCCATGGGCTCCAAGAATAGAGATTGAAAGTGTGGAGACTCCAAAGTCAGCACTGGTTCTTTTTTCCCTCAGACTGGAGTCTCAGCTGAACCCACATTCTTTCCACAGCTGCCTCTGGTCCCCTCAAGAAGCATGGTACAAAGTGTCCAAGTCACGCACATGGTCTAAGGACCCCTACCCATCAGGTTGAACACTGAACTGACCTGTAGTACTTTGTAATAGTAACAGAAAAGTCTGGGTGGCTGAAGCAGGTCCCTAGCAGTTAACTGTCCTTCTTTGGCGATCTTCTTTGCTTCTTCATCATTTTCCTAGAAGGAAAGAATGAAAATTGTTACTCTGGCCCACAGAGAAAGCTAAGTGCGAGCTCGAGAGAGATAGGCGAGGCAAACCTCAGCAGCACGGAGAAATAGACTGCAATGGGCTATAACTTACAAAGGAGGCCATGGGATAGTTCACTAATATCTGTCAAAGGAAAAAGATCATAGGTGTGTGGACTGGACTCTACGGGCCCCACTGGCCTCTTCTGGTGCTTTCCTAACTATCCAGGGAGAGGGCCTGGGTCCATCATCTGCCTCCCCAGCCATGCCCTCTGTCTGGGAACAGAATGGACCAATTACCATGTTAAAATGTCTTTTAAAAGCTTCCGCCCTGGGGAGATGGCTCAGCAGTTACGTGTGCATACTGCTCTTTCAGAGGATCTGAGTTCTGTTCCCAGGACCCACCTTGGTGGTTCTCAACTCTAGCTCCAGGAGATTTGAGGCCTCTGGCCTTTGAGGGCACCTTCACTCAAGTGCACAGACCTCTCTACAACTAACACATTAAAATTAAAAATAATAAAAAAACGTGTTTTTCATAAAGCTTCACTCAAATATGCAGAGACAATGTTCTGTTACAAAGAAGTAGCCACAAAAGACTATAACACTGTTGTAATGAAAGAGTTACTCACTCACTAGTACTCACGGGCTCATTATAGTCATGGGGAACACTTGATTTTCTGCAAACTGCTCATAGAAAAAGCTATTTGCTGACAATCGTGGATCTTAGGAAAAGCCAGAGCAATGATTCTGATCCATCATTCCCACAATGAAATATTATTTCTCAAACTTAAAAAATGGGAAAAATTTTATAATAGAAGTATAAATTTTTAGTTTCATAATAAACCACAATAGTTTTTAATATTATTCCTTAAAAATAGGAACCCCTGTTTTATGGGGAACTAGCTCTTGCTGTGTAGCATGTGTTGGGTAAGGACTTGTGGGTTTTTTTCCTATATTCGGGAAAGAGGAATACCAGATTTGCCTGGAATATTCTCTTAATATATAGTCTTTCAACCCTGGCCTTTTCAATCTGTAATTTACATTCTGTATGTTTTTGTTTTGCATATACAAATGCAAATAGTGAATCATTTAGAAAAATCTTTATTACATATAATACCAGACTTCAAATCTAACCTTCAACAATGTTGACAGAGGGTATACAAAATGATTCTGCTGTCCTTTCTTTCTCTTTTCTATGTGTACATGTGTGTATCTACACATGGGTTTGTGTGAATGAGTGCAGTGACCACAGAAGCCAGAAGAAGCCATCTGATTCCCTGGAGCTGGAGTTACAGACCACCATGTGCTGTCCAATGTGGGTGCTGGGAAACAAGGTCCTTTGGAAGAGCAGCAAGTGCTCTTAACCACGCAGTCTCTCCAACCTCTGATGTCTGTTCTTTAGCTATTTAAAGGAAACAATGTTTCTGGGTTTTTTTTTTTTTTTCTAGAAAATCATACTTCCTTTGATTTTTATTTCACTATGATACATTAAGTCCTGATAGAACACAGGTCTCCCATATCAATAACTTGGATATTGCCCAATAAAAGAAAAATTGCATGGAACATACCTTGGCCCACTTGACTTTCTCTAGAAGATCACTGAGGTTTCTTTTAATGGGAACGTAGTGCTTCCAAGGCCTTAGTGCCACATAGAAATGTTCATAATACGGGGAATCCTGCTTCAGAACCAGGCTGTCCCCCAGCATGAGATAGGGATACCTGTACGCAGCCACGGTTCCATCCACATTTACCTGGTACTTGTACTAGAAGATTAAAAGCAAAAAAAAAACTCATAAAGCCATCAGCTTTGCTTCTGTTTCTCATTAGTATTTTATAATTAAACAGAGGGATGGTTTCCACTTTCCCACATCTGTGTTTGCATTTCACTTGTCTTCCATTTTCTCTTTGTATAAAAATGATAAACAGCCTGCAACAGCTCCCTTGTAGGAAATTTTAGAACTAGGAACAAATGCCTGTTTCAATTACATCTGTGAAGCAGAGAGTCTAGACTTCTGTAATCAAGGCAGGTCCTAAAACTATTGTCAAAGTTCTAAATTTTAATATTCTGTAAAGTAACATTAATTATCAATTTTCATGCATATATAATTTCATTTATTCCTTATACTAAACCCACCAAACAAAAAGGCATTGTCTCTATTTTACAGTTTACAGGCTGATAAACTAGAGTTTATGTAAAATAGAGTGTACATCTTACCAGCCTGTGAACTGTGGTAAGATGGCTCAGTGGGTAGAGGAGCTTGCTGCCAAATCAGATGATTCAAGTTCAATATCCAGGACCCCAAACGGTAGAGGAAGAGAACTAACTTTGGTAAGCTGTCTTCTGACCTACACACACACACACACACACACACACACACACACTGATAAATAAGTGTAATAAAAACTAATTGACAGAACCTGGAGAAGCTGTTACTTCATTGGCATATATTGGGTTAATAAGTTCTGATTTCCATTTCAAAAGCATTTGCCAAAGGCATGAAATCCAATTTAGTTATAATATAAAGCAAGGTTTTTGGGTTTTGTTTTTGACAAGTGAGAAAACTGGTATACATAAAAATTTATAAACCTACATCCTGAATGCAAATTCACTGTTCTCTTCATCACGGAACCCCGAGATGACGATGATCCATTCCCAGCTATGGTGACTCCCTTTCTTCCTCACTTTCATTCTCCCTCTCTTTTCCAGTGCTAGAGACCAAACCTATGCCTCTCACATGTAATAGAAGCTTCTGCACTGGGCTAGACCCTAACCTCTTAATAATTTCTGTAAAACATAGTTTATTAAATAGTAAGTACCATGTGTTTCCTAGCCAGTTAGGCGTGGGTTTCATGATAACACTCTAAAGGAGGGGCACACACATGTATGTGCATGCATACCACACACACACACACACACACACACACACACACACACCACGCACGTATACATGCATATATACAAATTCACACACACATACAAAAATCAAAATCAAATAAAGGAACATGGCAGGCATCACAGGTCACCAGGGCCACTAAGAGATGAGGGACCACAGGCAGGACCCGAACTCTAGCTCCACCTCCTGTTTTGCATATATAAAAATGAATACTCTTTTATCAGAGATACTTGAAATCACTTCATGTAAAAGACACTTATCTTTGCAGCTTATTAAGTCAAAGGGAAAAGCCACAATAAATACATAATAAAACTTCATGAAGCATTAAATATATTCTAGGTTACTTGCTAAACAAAATTAACAGAGACAAAACTGTCAGAGTTCAGTGATTCCCTCGGTCCAACAGGAAAAGTGTGAAAGTGACGTTAGCTACAAACCGAGGCAACCTGCTTGAACCACCTGTTTGTAGTCTTTGGACACAGTTTATCACTTCATAGCCATAGGAAGACTCATACCTTAAAGAAATCAAAGAAACCCATCAACTTGGCTTTTCCAAGCTCTCTTTCTTTCTCTTGGAAAAAGAAATATCCTGTAATTCCTGCATCTAGCAGCTGTGGATTTTCTTGGGACAGCTGTACCAACTGCAGCCTCTCCTCCCGGCTATCTCTACCTCGGAAGAAAGCTTTCTCTGTTTTATTGATCCAGGAAGGCCCTAGAAGTTTGAGGCCATAAAAAATTATGATTAAGAATCTGAAATCATAAGACAGTACAATGCCCTTTAACCTACCATTGTCATTTAAAATGTTGATACTCGTCACAAACTCATTTTGTAACATAGATGCTATTTCCAAAATACCTGGGACTGAGTCTTAGTCTGCCAGAGGTGCTTTCAGAGGCTGTCTGTCTTTCTGTTTGCTCCAGTCCCTCCCATTTACCTACCAACAACAGCTCACCTGGACACTACTGACCACTGTGTTCAACACTAGGAAGTAGCCCTCACATTATCAGACCAAGCTCAAAGCAAAAAGAGGTTCTGTGATGATTTTTCTCACTCCCAAGGCCACAGGCAATCTTTCATGTTTCATAATCACACATGAGTTAGGCTTTTGTTTTTATATGAGGTCAGCAAAAAACTGTATAACTAAGCAACCCCAACGGATTTTTAATTCATAGTCCTCCCTTTACTTTTATTTTATGTGTATATGTATTTCATGTACCTCTGTGCACTGTGCGCATGAAGTGCTCACAGAGGCCAGAGGAGGGAGCCAGATCTCCTGGGACTGGAGTTACAGATTGTTGTGCACCAAGTAGGTGCAAGGAATTGAACCTGGGTCCCCTGGAAGAGCAGTGGGTGCTCTTACCCACTTAGCCATCTCTCCATTATAACTATTAAGTGTAGTTATATAGCTCACTACATTCCCATACGTATAAAGGGAGTTTGAGATAGGATTTTGCTATATATCCCTGGCTGGTCTGCTACTTGCTATATAACCCAGACAGATCTCTAACTAATGACACTCTTACTGTCTCAGGCTTCCAAGTGCTAGGATTACAGGCATGAGCCACCATGCCCAGCTCTCTATTTATATCTTCTCTTTTTAAGAAGGGAAATATTTTAGAAGAATTAATTTCAATCTCTGAGAAGACCTCTTATATTCTAAAGAAAGATGTTGGCTAAATGCCCATCACTGCCTCAGGGACATCATAAGACGCAGAAATCAGAGGGGTTCAACCTTCTCAGCAAACTCAGAAAGTCACTATTATCAAATTGAAAATAGACTATCTTTAATTTCATATGGTCTTCATCTTATTTTCATTTATCTTTTCTCTTCATGATATCATTAGATACTTTGCACAAATCTTATCCTCCAAATAACATTAAAGTGAAGCAGAGACTAGAAAGGACAAAGCCAATTTTTTTGCAGCCCAATGAGTTTCCAAAAAGGGGTATTGTATCATAAATGGAAGGAATCACAAAAAAGAGAGAAAGGGTTCCAATTTGAAAAACCCATGTTGTGCATAAAAATGAAATGAGAGAATTTCTGATGAAGTCTTAGAGGATGGGTGCATAATGCCCCAATTATACCATGACCATGACCCTCTTGTAGTTTTCAGAATTTGTTCTCATTTCATCCAGTAATAAAAAGCAATGGAGTCAGAATTAAGTGACAAGTTTACCAAATATACATATTATTTAAATACCTTTAATGTTTATCTTAACTTTTCATATAAGTAAAATCAAATGCAGACTTGAAAAAACATTTACAAATGACCCAAACTCAAAGAAGAGTCTGTGAATATAGGCTTGGGTATTATTTTACCAAACTATGTGCTTTTAATTTTCAAAATAGAATCCTAAACATTCTCTTTTGGCCTTAGGGTGACCCCCACACACACACACTTTGCTATGCTGGGAATGGAGCTTGAGTCCTTGCACATGGTTAGAAAGTGAGAAGGGTTAAGCATATACATCTATTCTTTCTGATTAAACATTCCCTTCACCTTTTACCCTTAATGTTTTTCCCTAGAGAATTAGCCTTAGCTTACCTGTATTTCCCTGAACAGAGAGGAGATCATTTGTGACACCCCTCATTGCTTCAAGTGTGGAATGGGTGACATCATATGTTGGAAGGATAATGTCTCTTGAATCCAAGGAGCCGCACCAGGAAATGATAGGTATAGGGCCAGGAGTGTCATTGACTTTTCGATGCTCCAAGGGCCAATCTCCCAGGTTTATATAAAATTCTAAATCTGGGAGGGTGACCTACAAAAACAAAAGCACAAAGATTAGTGCTGGGAGGTATCAAACATTCCAGTCTCTTGGCTATGGATGTAGATGTGTGGAGGACAGGGGTCAATCTTTGGTGTTTTTCCTCAAGAGCCATCTACCTTGTTTGTTTGTTTTTGGGTTTTGTGGGTTTTATTTTGAGACATGATTTCTCACTGGCCTGGACCTTTCCATGGTGGTTAAGCTGGCTGGCCTCTGAGCCTTGGGGATTCACCTCTGCTTCCTCAGCATTGGGATTACAAGCCCATGTTCTTACCACACTGGTCACATGGGTTCTGACGATTAGACTCAGGTCTTAACGTCCCCAACTGCACACTCAGTACTGACAGAGAAGACTACTAAAAACAGTGGGATAAGGGAGAAGAAAGTCTCAGGCTGAGGATAGTACAGAGCAAACTCACTTAACCGGGAGTCGGCCACCTTTCTCCAGAGGTGGCATTAAAATGTAATGTCACAGAGGTGGGCATATAGAGAAGTGTGAATGTGTGGCTTTGTGACCACTCACCAGCTGCCTATGCAACGGGTGTGCAGTCAGACCTAAGCCTTTTCCCACCCTCACCATGCCCTCTTTCCCCTTTCCCTCCAGAATCCTCCACCCTGTTTCCATGTCCACAACTGATCCTCCATTGAGGTCCTCTTGCTTGGAAAGCTGTGTCAGTTTCCTTCCAGGGCATTCTGACTCTCACTTCCCTCAACTTGAACCTACTGTCTATACAACTGCACAAATCTCTACACCCCACATGAATGTCACCACTACTAACCTTACCAGAACCTTTAGACTATGGAACAAGAGCTATGTTCTGGCCCGGCATTCAGAGCCTCACTCTCTTACTCTAGTTTATACTAAAGTCTCATAGGCCTGAGTGCTAGGATTACAGGAAAGAGTCACCAAGCCCATTTTAACTTAAATCTTACAAGAAAGAGCCATCTACAAAGATGTATGTACATTCCATGACACATTTCTGAGTCCTGAAATCCACTCTCACTGGTCTTTATAGTTCTAAGTATGTAACTGTAGCAACGAAAAAAAATTAAATGATACTATTTTTGGAATCTGTTCATTCATTTTCATACCTTTCTTGCCAGTGACAGCAAAATTTCATCAGAGAACATCTTGAAGTCTGTGTATTTCCCCAAAGATCTCCGGTGGATGTGGTTATTGACAATTGTGTAGTGAACAACAGCACCCCGCTCATCCCCAAATCTTTTGGGGACTTCCTTCAGCATCTGTTGGAGATCGATGCTGGGGAAGGAAGTAAAATCTTGCTCGATCTGTGGTTCCGTGGCTGGACAGGACAGAGTTTTCTGCCAGGCCTGAGGATCCTCTTCTGGGCAGTCACAGTACTCGTGGTACACGGGTCCTGGGGAGGTGACACACACAGACACACAGACACACAGACACACAGACACACAGACACACACAATAAGCCACTCTGAGTTAACAAGGAGATGCAAGCACTGGACGACAGCTTGGCAAATCTGAAAACTACTGGCAGGCAAAACTATCTTAGACAAATGGATGGTGTAGTACTTATATCAGAGTCCCACTTCTGTCCCCTATGGAGTTACCTTAGACACACCGTGCAGTGTGCTTCCTCCCAAAGGAACACACTCCAGTCTCTTGGACAACACATTCGCTTCTAGTGAGGTATAAGTAATTAATATACAACTACTTCATTTTAGCATGCAAAAGGAGAGCTTCCTGATTTTCAGACATTCCAATGTAGAAACAGTGAGTGTTTGAGAAAATGGAGAACCTTTCTCTCAAAGTCTCTAATGCTACCTCAATCAGTTCGTCTCAGAGAAAGACGCATTTAGAAAACAATGTATGCAAACCTAACATATAATTTCAGGACATATTCGCATTTAATATAAAATTAAATTTTCTTGAGGATTTATTTATGATCTTTAGAAACAGTCTCATGTAGCCCGGGTTGGCCTTAACTCCTGATCCTCCTGCCTCTACCTTCCTAGTGCTGGGATTATATCATTAAGTCTGATTTTTTTTTAAGATTTCTACTTCAGGGCAGGCAGTGGTGGCGCATGCCTTTAAATCCCAGCACTTGGGGGGGCAGAGGCAGGCGGATCTGTGAGTTCAAGTCCAGCCTGGTCTTCAAAGAGAGTTCCAGGACAGTCTTCAAACCTACAGAGAAACACTGTCTCGAAAAACAAAAAAAAACACAACCAAACAAAAATTATTTCTACTTCAGGCCAAGACCAATAAGAGGCACTGACTTATTTTTTTCACCTGAAGCAGGTGAACAAAACTTGGCATAATTTATGCACTCATAGTTTTCAGACTACAGTCACGAAGCAATGAGGAAGTCTAGGAGGTGGACACCAGCAAGATCACACAACTTGCTGCTTAACTGTAGCACAGAAAGAGGGAAGAGGGCATGGCTGAGCTGAGCAGCCTCACTGAGCTGAGAAAAGTGGACAGTGCAGAGAAAAGAGGGAAAATGAGCCTGGGAAGACAGAGCATATGAAGGGTGAGAACTAAACATGGAAAAGCAAGGAAACGTGCAGGACTTTGCTCATGAGTAAACATGCCCACCTATGATCCGGGCATCTGTGAGATGAAACCATCCAACACAGAAAGAGCCATCCAGAACACTGTGGGCGGGGCAGTGTACCCCACTCCACAGGGGTGGGGAAAGTGCCTGTACCAGCCAGGCTGCAAAGCCTCTTCATTCTTGGGACTTGGGGAGTGCATGTCCTAGTCCTTGAGAGTAACTAGCCTTAGATTAAACGTGGCGCAATTCCATCTAACAAACCGTAAAAACTTAAAGGATTAAGTCCAGCTAACTGCCACATCCCAGGGATAAATCTTAGGGAAATTAAAAATGGCATCAAGAGATTAAAAAAAAAATACACTGTTGGGAATTAGTGGCAACTTGGCATTTCAGGAAAAAAGATGAACAAAAAATGTAAAGATTCAGCAATAGGAACAATACAAAATGAAACAGAAAAATATTTTTTAAAAGATTTATTTTAGGTGTGTAAGTGTTTTGTCTATATGTATGTATGGGCATTACATGCATGGCTGGTACCTACAGAGGTCAGAAGAGGATGTTGGGTTCCCTGGAAGTGGAGTTACATATGACTGTGAGCTACTGTGTGGGGCTGGGTCCTCTGCAAAAGCAACTAGTGCTCTCCAAACCCAGAAACTAACAATTTTTCAAAATGCCAAAAATGATAAAAAATTTGAGCTTCAAGAAGTACATATACAATGTTGAACCTGACTGCAGGGTCATCACAAGCCATTCTGAAAAGCATGCATCCACGTAAGTCTAGGTTCAGGTGATGAATAACACTTACCTTTCAAAATATAGGGAGACTGAGCCACGTGCTCACCACCATAGAGGACCTCTACCTTGAGGCCTGCGTGGGCAGTCTCGTGCATCCTGTATCTCACCAAAAATGTTCCATCATTCCTGTCCAAAGGTTTAGGAACATAAATTCGGACTGACTCTTTAGGTGAAAGGGATTTTACCACTACTTTGAATTGTGTTTGGCCTGGAAGCAAAAGAAATACAAATAACATGACCATTTCCTGATTACCATATCTCAAAGGTTAGACAGGGATCTTAGTACAGAAACTCCTTTGCCCTTCACTGTTCAGGGTAAACCATGTTCAGTTCAGCCTGGAAGGTCCTTGAGGCCACAACTACGTCTGACGCATCCTTAAGCCAAGGATCTGACTTAACATGGAAGTCATTAGTTTTTCATTAACGACAGTGGATGAAAAAATCAATTCATTGAAGAAAGTAACATTCTGCCTACTTGGTCTTTTCTTCTCTGAACACCATTCAAGTTTAGGCAGTTAATGTCCACACTCTAAAGTTGATGGCCCTGTGGCAATTCAGCTTTCACCCTGTAACGTACACACGTTATTTAATGCCATTTAAGTGTCTAGCAACCCTCATTTCTGAGAAAGTGTCCTGTTTTTATTATATTTGTTCTTTGACAATTTCACATGGTACAATAATGCATACTGACCACTCACACCCTTGTTTACCCCTGCCCCTTTCTACAAATTTCTTTCTGATATTCATAGCTATTCATTTTGTTTTGTGACCCACTGAGTCTAACCAGGGCTGTCTATGTGACTATGGAGTTGTCCATTGGAGCCTGGTGGGCTCAGCATAGGGTATGCAGCAGGTGAACAACTGAAAATGACTCTCCCTCTCTCAAAACCTAATAGTAGTTTGGAAGTGAGGGACAGGGCCCCATAAACCCCGCCCCCCCATTCTGTGACTGATGGTTGATAGGACCAGTCTCATGTGGGCCTAGTGCAGTAACCACAGTTTTGAGTTCATGGTTGCAAAGGCTGAGTCTAGAGCAGCGGTTTTCAACCTATGGGTCGTGACCCCTTTGGGGTCATCTTTCACAGGGGTCACCTGAGGCCATCTGCATATCAGATATTATATTATGATTCACATCAACAGCAAAATTACACTTATGAAGGAGCAATGAAAATAACTTTATGGTAGTGGGGGAAATCACCACAGCATGAAGAACTGTATTAAAGGGTCACAGCATTAGGAAGGATGAGAACCACTTGGCTAGAGGATGGCATTTCAAATCACTTTATCTTCTGGCTCTTACATACTTCCCACTTCCTCGTCTACAAAGTTCCCTGAGCTCAAGAGAGTCTGAAAATCTCTCTTTTTAAATTGAAATTGAATTTGTAAATGCTTTGTGTTTCTTCTAGCCTGCCATCAGAAAGGCAACTCGAGGGGCAGGAGAGACGGCTCAGCAGTTAAAAACACTAGCTTCTATTCCAGAGTGCCCAGGTTCGAGTCCCAGCACCCATGTGGTGGCTCACAACTGACTGTAACTCCAGTTCCAGGGGCTGTGACACTCTCTTCTGGCCTCCAAGACTAGCAGACACATACACATTCAGGCAAAATACCCATACTCATAAAATAAAAACCTTTTTAAAAAGAAAGAAGAAAGATAATATGTGATACAGCAGACTGAAAAGCTGAGGTGGCACATACCTTTAACCCAACACTCTGGAGGAAGAGGCAGGTGGCTGTCTGTTAGTTGAAGGCCAGTCTGGTCTACATAGTGGACTCTAAATCAAATAAATAAATAAATAAATGTGAAAAAGAAAAGTATAAAACTATTTGAAACACGTACTTTAAGTGCTTCAGGAAGTTTATTAGCAATGGGGACCTCGCCTACCAGGACTGCTTAGGAAGTTTATTAAAGCTCCTTGTAGTTAAAGGGAAAGCACTGATCTTACATTAGCAACTAGAGTGTCCCAGAAGACCAAAGTGTTACACCCTAGGACTACATAATCCTCCAAATATGTCTGACTTCCTTCCAGGATCCACTCATGCACTGCAATCATATTAAGAGGGTTTTTTTTTTTCTCACTATAAAAACATTATAATCTATTGGGGCTAGAGAGATGGCTCAGTGGTTAAGAGTGCTTCCTACTCTTCCAGAGGACACATATTCAGTTCCCAGCAACTCTATTAGGCAGCTCACAAGTGCCTCAAACTCCAGCTACAGGAGATCCAGTGCCCTCTTCTGGTCTCTACATACACCTGCACGCAAGTGACATATGCAAACACACACACACACACACACACACACACACACACACACACACACACACGTACACCTGCACGCAAGTGGCATGCAAGTGACATATGCAAACACACACACACACACACACACACACACACACACACACACACACACACACACACACCTATAAATATAATTGGGAAAAATAATGCAAAAAAGGAATTAGGGGGTTAAGTCCGTACTCTCTTGATGTAACCATGGAAGTGCATGTTTGGGTTCATTTATTTATTACAAACTCGGAGTGATACTACCTCACGGTTCGAATCCAAAACATGTCCCACAAGCTCCTGTAATGAGCACTTTCTGTGCTCTTGCACATCTGCAAGCCTGCCCAGAAAACCCTCAGCCTCCAAACCCCTACTCTCGAAGGCTTCCCAGACTTCCCTGGGCCTACCTGCGGTTCTTCAATATTTACACCACGCTGCACATATCTCATTGTAGTAACTGATGTGCCCTGATAGGTCAGTTGCTTATCTATTTTCTCAGTAGAGTCTAAGTTTTCTGATAGACAGACATTACCATCTTCTTTTTACTCCAGGATTACCAAACACACAGTGACCTCCAAGAACATTAAGAACCCATTTGCACTGTGGAGGAGGTAGGCCCTGGACCATTTGATCTCTGCTGGCAAAACAGGTGCCTGTTAGGAGCAACCTTAAATTTAGACACAAATTAGCAAATCCCGACTGGCAACAACTTGAAACCGCCAGATGTGGGAGGAGGACACTGCAGAGACTCAGGGCAAGACCCTCCTAGCCCCGTTTCTATTTAGTTTCACTGATTCCTGTAGTCTGCATTTAATAAATCAAAAGCAAAAAGAAAAGGAAAGCCTGCGTGCAAGAAGGCCCTGCACTGCAGGCCTAGGAGCCCACAAGTCAGGGAGGAAGGCACTCCCTGCAGGCCAGGAAGGACCATCTGCACCACGTGATTGCGCCACCGCTCCCCATAGGACACCACGGACGCCATTTACTCAATTTACCCCAACATCAGTCATTGAGTGGGGCATGTGGCCCGGCCCTTGGAGTTAGACAGTCACCCCAACGGACCTAGGTGGCGTCTCCCGCCCTAGTGGGTTTCAGGGAGGAGGGGAGGGAGCCCCTGGGAGGGGAGAGAGGCAGACACCCACAGTGGGGGATATGGCAGTGTGTGGGGACAGGGACGCAAGGGGACTGGATGGCGACCGGCACTGACCTGGCGGCGAGCTAGTGAGGTTCCGGCCGTCCGAGTCCACC